GAATAAGTAGCATCACAATGAATGGAGAAAAGATTGACGTTGTCAGAGGCTTCATATTACCTGGTTCTACAATCAACACCAATGGAAGCAGCAGTCAAGATATCAGACAACACATTGCAGTGGGCAAATCTGTTGCAAAAGACCTCTTTCAAGTGCTGAAGAGCAAAGATGTCTCCTTGAGGACCGAAGTGCGCCTAACCGAAGCCACAGTATTTCCAGTCGCCTCGTATGCATGCGAGAGCTGGACAATGAATAAGGAAGACTGAAGAAGAGTTGATGCTTTTGAGTTGTGGTGCTGGCGAAGAAGGTTGAAATGACCGTGGACTGCTAAAAGGACTAACAAATCTTGTCCTGGGAGAAGTGCAGCCAGAATGCTTCTTGGAAGTGAGAATGGTCAGACTTGGTCTCACCCACTTTGGTCATGTTGTCAGAAGGGACCATTCTCCGGAGAAGGATATCATGCTTGGTAAATGGACGGTCAATGAAAAAGGGGAAGGCCCTCAACAAGATGAACTGACACACTGGCAGCAACGGTGGGCTCAGGTATAGCAAGGATCATGAGGCTGGCCCAGGACTGGGCAGTGTTTTGTTCTGTTGTCCATAAGGTTGCTATGAGTTGGAGAGGACTCAACCGCACCTAAAAACAACAACAACAGTTTTATACCCTCCAGGGTTTGTTGTTTTTGAGCAGTTGATTGACATTTCCTGGGTAAGCTGTAAACAACTGTCGTGTGATACTTTTTGTCTGGTTCAGACTGAGGCCTGCCCTGTGACTGGTCTGCACCTTGCAGGGACTAGCCCATAGACTATGCAAATGAGGTGAGTTGTAGCCAACTATTCAAATGAAGTGTCTGTACTCCCTACTGGGAGGCTTGGTCAGTTCATGGTCCTGATGGGAGGGCCATGCCTTGAAAGTGACAAGGAGCTTGTGCATGTATGCAGCCAACTCCACAGAGGTTTTTCAGACAGAAAGAAGCAGGAAGAGAAGCAGCAGGTAGAAGGAGAGAGGGAGAGAGAGAGAGAGAGAGAGAGGGAGAGAGAGAGAGAGAAGGCAGCAAGGAACTGCCTAAGAGAGCTGTAACATGGGTTAAGGGCTGCAACACTGAAGATGGTGACAGTGCCA